CATAGGACCTGAGTGTAAGTCCAAGTCCAGGCCTAATATTCAGCCCTGAACACAGTTCAACACACTCATTGATTTCACTTGAATAACACTCGATTAAATAGTTAACTTTCATTTGAGTATTAGTTGGAGTTTAAGTTGACAGTCAAATAACACGGGGGAAAGGTTCGAACACGAGATGTGGTACAGAACAAAGATCCTTGAGATGTAACACAATTGATTGATGTGTTGTGTTGATGGTATTGTATCACTACATGTATGTTCTAGTTATACCGTTCTATGTTCAGTTACACAAGAACAAGTTCTTGTTGTCGTATAACTGTAACAGACCCACCTTCACAACGAGAAAAGCCGCGTCTGGCGATATAGTGTATGTATGTTTCCTCAATCGAATCGATGTGTATGGTTTATACCGTTGGTCGTAGGTGCGACAGTCACAGATGATAATAACAGATCGGTCGAAGGGAAACTGCAGTGTTCTAGAGCGCTTCGTCAACGCTATAAAACGCTCTGAAGCACTCGAGTCATTACCGGCGGTATAGGTCTTTCGGTTTTGGTTACAAAAAGCAGAAAAGAGTGCGCGTTTAACGAGCTAGATTACCTTCAAATCTACCAAATCCTTGTGTTTCCTCTTATATGCATTTCATGGCCAAGGACTGCAAGGCCAAAATTGGGCCTGAACTTGGCTTTGAAAAATGGTTCAGTCATGGCCACAGCCGCATGGCCATGCGTCGTGTGCCGCATTCACTACAGTAATTGCAATGTGTAATGTGAGCACAATGAGCTGGCTGTGGAACATTTCGCCAGGCGTCGACCAGATTACGCGACTCTGGGATTTGTAGTCTTTCTAGTTGCGTATTTTTCATAGTCTTATATTTCAACAGTTTTACGACAAACTGTGACTTTTTTGACATGGAAATTATTTTTTAAGATTGACAAACATTATGTGTTATTCGTGGCACAATTCAAACGGGATCGAAAGATAATCTTTCTCTCCCCATTGACTTCAATATATAATTTTTCCGAAATAAGGTCCCGTGGGGCGGAAGTAGATGGGCGGGACTTCACCACTCTATAGTTTACAGATAGATGAGCTTGATGCTCCTAATCAAGAACACATGAAGAAATAGATAACTTACAGCATCACTGGGGTTTGCCCTTATTTCTTTTTCTGATTCCATACTTGAGAGTAATTGCTTGAAGTTTCTTGGGAACTGATCCTAACTTGATTTATTGGTTACATGATTGGATGTATGTGTGTTCCGCACCACCAGTATCCATTAAAAGGACCATTGCTGTTTCATATGAACTTTTTACAAGCAGCAAGATTTCACTCAAGTTCATGTTTACATTTTTTATTTATTTTAGTAAGTAAATCTTTAAAAACTGTGTAGATAGTTAAAGACTTAAGCAGTATCTTAACTCAGTGGGCATGTGGAAGTTAATGTTTTTAGGCAAAGCTTCTTTATGGTCATGGCCGCTGGATATCTGGTATTGATATTGATATTTTCAATTAATGGAGAAACTACCAAATAATTGTGCCATGTATCTCATTCTCGCAATCTCCTGACCTACGGATAGAGTTAAGTATGAGAATTGAACCATCACTACTTTAACTGAACCAGATACCTGCAACTTACAGTCAGAAATAAGGCTTTAACTAAAGCCTAGTATGTACATTAAAAAACACTTGAAAAAGCAGAAATGCAAAGATACAAACACACACACTTTAAACTTAAACCATTTCTTTCTTCGTAAATTCACAATTTGACGTTACCTGTTGTCAACTCTGTTCGACAAAAGCCTGGAAGACGGTCATTGGTTGGGGAGAAAGCAAAACACATATAAAAAAAGGAATGTGCACACCAATATTTGTTTCGTAACATGTTATGGCATAGTTAAAGTAACGTGACATGTGGCTGGAAAATGTTTTTGAGCCCTTTCACTTTCAAGGTTACATCAATTAAGTGCATCATGCTTGAGGCCTGAGAGCGTATGATTGTCAAAATGCTGTTTCAGTTCCTTTACTTATGGGAAAGCTACATTTTGATCATGAAATAGTCACAGAGCGCAGACAGTGAAGGTTTTCTATCTGCTGCTTCAGTGCGATTGTGCTTCTTTGGGGAAGAAGCTGTTCCCCTCGTCTAAAAGCAGCTCCATGCAGACAGATCTCTGCTCCACACTGTGAAGACACTCCTGCAGTCGCTGCCTGTCCTCCCACACACGAGTATTATGGTATGGCTCATTCACACGGATAGAAAGGATACGGCACATACTTGATCTGTTTCTATGGAAACCACAACTTAAGAAGCAGTCAGCTCGGAAATCAGTGACATTTACCTGTCTCTATTAGTCTTTCTTTATTTAATTACCAATTAGCCTGTGTGTTGATATGGGCTCCAACACACTGAGATGTACATTCAATAACGCCTTCACACTGTCTTGTGTATCTTACTGAGTGTGAGACAGATTTGGTGCAGTCTGGTGTCTCATTTCAAAGGCATATAGTTCAACATGCTTCATTTCGGACATCATTCTTCTTGTACTATTGGTGAACACGCAATTACTGCCCTCAAATTTGAAAGCTCTGATAGACTCTCTAGGATTATATGGTCGATCTGTTTAGTGAAAACAAAACAAATGTTCTTTCAGCTCAGGTAATTTCCTACTGACAGTTCTAGTAAAAATGAAAAGCGTGTTCCTATTTTTTAATCCGGGCAAAATTGCTTTGCTTTTTGGAATTCATTTGCATGTATTTGGTTTTTTGCGGATAGCTCTGTCACTCAGTAGCACTTCAGCAGTGTAAGAGTCTGTGGTTGCATAACACGGGTGTGGATAAAGAGAAATGTTAAGACCCTCAAAGGAAACACTCTTCTAGGAAATTAAGTATGAACTACAGAGAGGTGAATATTCGGTGAGCTTGGGTCTTTCAGGTAAAAAAATTGAATATCCTTTATGTTATATTGAATATAAGGGAATAGAGACTACAGGATGATGTGTAGGCTAACGTCCATTTTGACCTTGATGGCGTGTAGATGTCAAGATTTTGGTGAACAACAGCAATGTGTACTTAACAACGCTCATTATAGCCAATGTATTCTGAGCACTCTTGTCTTGTCGATTATGGGTCTGAAGAGATGTGGGGACCTGGTAAAATAGGCCACATTTCCCTGTTGCCCTCGATGAGAGAGCTGGTTCACTGAATGTCTTAGAGGTGGAGGTTTGTGTGTGGAGTTGCCGGAGTGAGAGGAAGGAAGGGTGTGGGTATTAGTAATGAATGTATTGTCACTTTCCATTTGCCTTACCAAAGCTTCATTGCACTCCAGTCCCGCGGGAGGAAACACTACCCACCTTGTTTAGCTCTGACGTTGAAGTGGAATAACGCGGGAAGGTGAAGGAGAGCGAAGGGTGAAGTGATGGAGAACTGGAATAAAGTAGAGAGGTAATAGAAGAGACAAGTGGGAAGGAGACACAA